GTTTAGGGTTTAGGGGTTCAGGTTTCAAGATCCAGAGCTGATCCTAAAAGCCTGTAATCTCCAAACCCCGAAACTCTAAATCCCTACATCCTTTGATCCGACAACCCCAAACCCTAAAAATGGTCGTGAAACCCGGTACTCTAGAACTCTAAGCCTTGAGGGCTGGAAGAGCATTCCCGCAAACTAACAATGCATGGGGCCTTCATGATTAGAACATGGGTTTAGGCTTTAGGGTTTAGGGGTTTAGGGTTTAGGGTTTAGGGGTTTAGGGGTTTAGGGTTTAGGATTTAGGGTTTGCCTTCATAATTAGAACATGGGTTCAAAGCGGGCGGTACGGTAGGACTTGGGACCATCGGAGCCTTAAGAGATAACTAGAACAGGGTGTTGGGAGAGGCTAGATTCTAAGTGTATCAGGCATCCTCGGGAAACTAACGTCACAAAATATTCCAAGCTTATTTAGGGTTTAGGGCTTCCCCCTGCATTCGCGCTCCCCGACACTGCCCCAGCTTTGCCCTCCCCCACACTTGGCTCCGGCGTGTCCTCCGGCCAGAAACCGAAGCCGTCGTTTTCGGGCGCCGTGGGCTCCGGCAGGGGCACCGTACCGACCATCTCACTGCCCTCGAAGCCAGTCAGATGCCGACCCTGTTCCGTATCGAAGTTGGCCGTGAAGTGCAGCTCCGTGCCATTGCAGCTGCTGTCCAGACTCTCCAGGGGCTTCCAACGGCCAGCCGACAGCCACATGCACAAGAGCTCGTAGTCGTTTGCTTCGGAGAGCTCCACTGCGGTCTGTGGCGTTCGGAGGTCCTCGGATCCTCTCCCCGCGGAGCTTGAGCGTCAAGGTGAACAGTGAAACTGCTCACCTCCTTTCCCCCGCCCCCAAATGAAGTGAGCAGTGGACGTGTTATATATATTTTTTTTTTGCGGATTCGATACAATCACTGTGTCTTTGCGCAAGCAGTGCCTGGATGCCTGAGCAGAGAATCACTCTTGCATGCGGCGGGCATCCCTCCTGATGAGGCAGTGCATGTGTATGTGCATGGCCTTATCCAACCTCTGGCCATTGATCAACGCATCACGTTGCTGCATGGCATGACCATTAGTGTAACGCCCAGGGATGAGGGCGGCCCAGCCTACTGTGACCTTGCCGACATGCTGCAGACCGCTGAGGGATGGGACCGCAATGCCCCATTACCCGGACCGGCCGTCCACTTCAACAGCCACTTCTACCTTCTCACAGAGGGTCGACCCTTTGCTTTTCAGGTAAAACCACAGGGACAGGCCACTTTCAGGGACGATGTTGCGCGGGCCGTGGGCTCACCTGAACATCGCCTCAGCATTTGTGCCGTTACGCCTCGCATCCCGGATGCTTACCCTTTTGGGTTCTGGACATCGGCCGTTTTGGTTGTGACAGAGACGTTGTCGAGAATCCCATACCCGCCTGCGCGCTTTCCAGAAAAGCGCTTGGTTCTGGTCCTGGACCAAAGACGAATCCTGCGGGGCATTGCGTGGCGACTCGTTGAGTCCCGTGTTTTGAAGGTACAAGACGTAGCAGACATGTATTATGACGTTTGCCCGTTCCGGCACATCGTGTCAATTGAGGGGGCACGCACAGAGGTCAGGAATGGCGAGTCGGTTTTCATTATCCAACATGGCCAAGTGTTGGTCGTCGAGTTTGTGCCTGAAAAATGCAGCCCCACATCCTCAGGTCACGACACCGATCAGCCAGGCCCGCCTGTGCAGGGTGAAGACCACGGTGCTGCGCATTTCGCTGGCACTGCAGCCTCCCTGCCGCCAGGGACCACAGCGACCGAGACACAGCCAGGGACAGCGCGCAGCAGGTCCCCGAGAGGGCGCAATCTGCAAAGTACGTCTGGTTTGCCTACAAGTTGGTCAGAAAGTGCGCGCACAGAGCTGTCCAGCTACAACTGCAAAATGCGCCGACCTGAGCTAGCCAGCTTGGGCCACGACCTTTTCGGAAGCAAAGTGCGTGTTGAGCCTTCCATCCTGCCTGACCTGGCTCAGGCTGTACTATCGCCAATTTTGCCAATTGGCTCCCTGCCATTTGGCCTTGCTAGCGAGGCAGCACGCGCATGCAAGCTCCTAAGTGAGCCAGCTGGTACCCCATGGCAAGATTCAGCCATAGACTTTGCACGCGATGCTGCACAAATGCTGGGAGACGCATGGCCCTTTCCGCCTTATCGTTGGCCCATCGAAAGTCCGGATGTTGATGAGGGGGACTCACAGACCATGGAGCTAGGCGAAGGTTTCATGACTGACATAGTCTTGTTTCTCCTCACACCGGATTACACTCCCGAGCGCCTCGATCTGACAGTCCAGCTCCCCCAATCTGTCGAAGACATTGTCGATCTTGCGCAAACTTGCCGGGATGCAGCACGTCAGCGACTCTTCCCCGTTCTTGTCGAAGTTCGCCAGCAGCCTGACCCAGGATGGGGAATATTCTTGGCACTGCCCCCCTGGCTGCGTCACCGTGCTGTTGTTTGCGATGACCTGTCATTTTTCGACGGTCGCATCTTCGCCGTATCGCTGCACAGCCAAACAGATAGGTACACTTTATGTGTCTCTGTTGGTTTAGCGCCCACAGTTGATGTCGACATCTATGTGCCGGGGATGGCCGCTCCTCTGCCACGTGGGGCCGACTGCCAACTGACAACGGGAATGTGCATTGTATTCGTTCAACCGGGTATGGCCCGCCCGGGCAGCTTCAACCTTCGCACCATGCTCTGTTCCCACCTGCCTTGGGAGCATAGCCCGATGTTTCCCCGAGATTCTCTTGGGTGCCCACGCCAGTCAGGTCCGGGGACCAGTCATTGTGCAACAGAGGATGACCTATCCCAGCTGTGGCGACCGGCTCCCCCCTCTGCGCCGTGAGGGACCTGCTCTGACAGAAGGTGCTAGGTCCTCGCATGCCAGCCACGGGTTCACTGACAAGGCGACTGCACCAGGGACACCTGTGGTATGTGCTGAGCTGCCCTCCCATGAGGACAATTGGCTCCTAATAACACTGCTTGAAGAAAGCGTAGCATCGCCTGTTTCAGAAGCATTCTTTCTGGCAGCTACTCTGCTGGAAACCTTGCTGGAACACTTTGCAGTGGAAGAAGTGCCACCAGCTCCGAGGGAGTTGACTGCGAGCCGAATTGATCTGTTTCCACTCCTGCCGCCTCCTGCATTTGGCCTTGACGCTGACAGTGTGCTGCTGCCACACAGTCGGTGCATCCTACGGCAGCTCTTCTCTGCGTGGCCACCCACATGGCTCTTCCCAGACGACTGGAGCGATGCCTTGTTGCCCCCTTCAACACTGCAATGCTTGGGAAGCCTCCTGCCGAGAGCCGAAGTGTTTCAGTCGAAGCGACTTGCAAATCTCTCCTTTTCACTGTACACTGATGGCTCGGCGACCCCAGCTCGGGGTACAAGTGGTTATGCAGTTGTCATCCTAGGCCATGCTGGAAGTGAGACAGCACTTCTTGGCTCGCTCGGCGACCAAATCGCTGGTAATCAAGCATCGCCCTGGGTGCCTGACGGACCGTTGGCTCTCCACGCCGAACATATTGCCATTGCGGTTGCACTTCTCTGGACCATGCAAATGCGTGGAGTGATTGAAGTCGTGCAATGCTCCTTGTACTTCGATTGTACCGCAGCGGGATGGTCTGCGACTGGACAGTGGCAAACCTCAGGGCCTGCCAGTGAGTTTGTACACCACCTGTACATGACAGCCAAAGCAATGCCAGGCATCACTGTTGAATTTGCTCACGTCCGTGGACATTCGGGGGATCCATGGAATGACCTAGCAGACCACATTGCAAAAACAGCGGCAGGTCAACAAACAGTCTGGCCACGCCCTCCTGAGGAGCTCTGCCGCGCAGTCGCTGCCCAGGATATATCCTGGTTGGCGCCGGAGATGGACGCGAGGGTCCACCACGCTGCGCCTATCTTTGATGGCATTGTGCATTGGAGTGACACTTGCTTTGCAAGGGCGCCACTACAACCGCAACAGCTTGTGCCCATCACAAATGAGGGAGGATGTGCTGATAACGAGCTCAAGGATTTCTCCCTCTTGGCAGCGACCATCAATATCCAGAGCCTCCGCAACAAATGCAAGTATGTTGAGGAGCAGCTCGTAGCCCGAGGGATCCAGCTTGTCTTTTTGCAGGAGACAAAGCTCCCAGGAGGCACGGTGACCTCTGAACATTACCTCCGGTTGCATACTGGTGCGGAGTCTCATTGGGGTGTTGGTATCTGGATCCACCGTAAGTTAGGGGTGCTTAGGCTAGGCAAGGAAGCCCTACATGTGGATGAAAGTGATGTCGCAACACTGCACGAGACCCCTCGCCTTCTGGTTGTGCTTCTGACCATCGGTGACCTTAGGATCGGGTTGCTAAGTGGTCATTGTCCACATGCCAGCAGACCCCAGGAAAGGATCGACTTTCTGAACACCCTGGCACCCCTGCTGCAACGGCTGAAACAGACCAATCTCCTGGTAGGAGGTATTGATCTCAACGGTAGAGTACCTCCTGACTATACTGGGGTCTCCGGTAGCCTGGAATTTGGCGAACCCGATGACACTGGTTGGAGTTTCGCCCCCATCCTTGCTGATGCTGGGGTATGGATCCCTTCCATGTACACCCAACTTCACTGTGGCGATTCCACAACTTATGTGCACCCTAATGGTCAACAGCACCGTATAGACTACATTCTTCTGGGTGGAAAGGCCTTAGTTGATTGTGTGCGGTCTGAAGTGGACGAGACATTTGACAATGGCAGCCCACAAGAGGATCATCTGCTTCTCCAGCTCTCGATTACAGGCAACATTGCACTCGCACGGCGCCCAAGTCGTCTGCTGCGCCCCACTTACGACAGGGAGAAAATCCTATCTGAGGAGGGCCGCGTGCGCATCCGTCGCACCCTTGCTGTGTTCCAGCATCCAGCCTGGGATGTTCACCCTGATCAACACTGTCTGCAAATGGAGGAATTCCTGCGTAATGAGCTTGATACCCACTTTGCAAAGCCTCCTGTCCAGCGCCGTGCGTCTTACATCCCAGACACGGTATGGCGACAACGCGAGGCCAAAGTTGGCTTCAGGCGAAGGGTTAGGCATCGAATCTGTTTGTGGAAGGATATCCAATGCCGAGCCTTTCATCAGTGGCGAACAGGACAAAGCTATGATGTCGAATTGCTCCTAGGAAAACAAAGCCTCTTGTATGAGCTTGCAGCAACTGCGATACGTTTCGCGACAGCTGTTATCAAGCGAGGCATCGCCAAAGCCAAGAACACCTTCCTGTATCAGGTAGCTGGAGAGAACCACCAGGGCGCTGCCAAAATCATGCAGAGAGTCAAACGAGCAGGCGTTGGGGGCAGCAAAACGAGACCGGTGTCTCGTCCCCTCCCCCTCCTGCTTCATCCTGACACCGGGGATATGATCATGAATCGCTCTCAGCGTGATGACGTCTGGATGCTGCACTTTGGCAAGCAAGAACAGGGGCAGGCAATGCAATGCAAACCACTGACTTCATTCGTGAGGCGGCTTTCCGCTGCTACGATGACAATGTAGTCTGGTCTGCAGAAATGCTGCCCAACTATACTGACATCGAGAAAGTCCTGAGAGGGATACGCCGCAACAAAGCGGCAGGCCTGGACAATATCCCGGGTGAAATGCTGAAGGCGGCCCCAGCAGACACTGCGCGCTTCCTTTTCCCCTTATTCCTGAAATCCATGCTGCTGCAATGTCAACCCCTACAGTGGAGAGGGGGGGTGCTCTACGAAGCCTTCAAACGATCAGGTCTACAGAGTTCGGTTGATAATTATCGTAGCCTTTTCGTGTCCAGCTATGTTGCCAAGGCCTACCACCGCACTGTGCGCGATAAAACTCAGGCTCTTTGCAGAGACGAGTTGCACCCGCTTCACCTGGGATCCAAGAAGCATGCCCGGTGACATTCGCGGCACTTTTTGTGCTATCGCATTTACGCCGCAGTCAACGGTTGGGTCGCAGTGCGGCTGTGCTCTTTCTTGATACATCCGCAGCATACTACCGTATTGTCCGTGAGCTTGCCATCGGTGACATCCGCGCTGACGCGACTGTCCTTACACTCTTCAGGAGATTTGGACTTGATGAAGAGGACATCAACGAGCTCATGAGTACTGTCAAGGAAGGTGGTATGCTAGCACAAGCGGGGGCTCCTGACGCCCTTCGCCAAGTTGTTAAAGATATTCATCTTAACACTTGGTTTGTATCAAGGTTTTCTGATGGTACTAAGGTGTGCAGTAGCCTCGCAGGAAGCAGACCGGGGGAAAGTTGGGCAGACCTGATCTATGCCTTTATTTACTCCAGGGTCCTTCACAAGATCCAGGAATTCGCCCTCGCTGAGGACCTGTCTTTCAAGGTTTCCCTAGGAGACAGAGGGTCCTTTCACGACGGCCCCGGGTGCTACGGACCTTGTTGCCACTGACACAACATGGGCTGACGACTCTGCCTTCCCACTCGAGGATGAGAGTCCGGCCAGACTCATGCAGAAAACAGTTCGTCTTTGCACCCTTGTCATCAGCTTCTGTGAGGGTCATGGTATGGCGCCAAACCTTAAGCCGGGGAAAACCAGTGTGCTGATATCCCTCTCAGGCAAAGGCAGAGGCAGCAAACGAGTGCGCGGACAATACTTCCCTGCAGGTGCAAAAAGCCTCCATCTACCTGACTTGGATGTAGGAGTTGTGGTTGCTGATCAGTACAAGCACCTAGGTGGTTACCTGGACTGTAAGCTGACCATGAAGCCTGAAGCCCGTTTTCGCCTAGCCCAAGCAGCTAGTTCTTACACAGCTGCCAAAGATCTCCTCTTGAATAGCCCAAGGCTTGACATTAAGACCAGGGCTGCCTTGTTTGCGTCGGCGGTCACACCTACTTTCTTCAACCTTGGACTTTGGCTGCCGAGCGGTCAGGCTTGGGAGATGCTCAGCAATGGCTACTCGAAGCTTGTCAGACGCTTGCTCATTACCAATGTTGGAGCGCACAAGGCATTTCATGTTCCGTTGCCTGTTGCCCACTGGTTTACAGGATGTTGGCGACTTGATCTCGTAGCGCGCCGAGCGAGGATGAGTTTGCTAGTCTCACTTGTCCAGGCAGGGCCACCTCTCCTGTGGGCCATGCTGCAAAACGAAGTCTGCTGGTTCCAAGTCCTGCAGGCAGACCTTCAGTGGTTTGTGCGGACAGATGAGGCTCAATGGCCACGCCCTGCTGCATGTGCATGGCCGGAATGGCATCATCTTCTAAAAACTGCTCCACAACGCTTTAAGCGAAGCCTACGGCGCAAACTTGACCAGGCCCATGAGATGCAGTGCCAACAAGATGCCGTTCTCATTGGCCAATGACACTGCTGTCGAACGCTGTTAGGCCGACAACCGACAGCGATGCCAGCGCTGGCTTGGATTTGCCGCCTCTGCAACAAGCCGCTCCGCACGAAGGCTGCGCTAGGTGCGCACTTCTTCAAGGTGCACGGTAGGGTTGCGGAATATCGCCTAGTTGCCTGTGGCACACGCTGTGATGCATGTGAGGCCAACTTTTGGTCGGAAGGCCGCCTGGCCGCGCATCTGCGTGCAAGTCCTGGCTGCGTGTGGTTTTTGCGTCAGCAAGGCAAGCAGGTTGAGAAGGTTAGGCCGGGCTTTGGCAGTAAAAAGCGCCGACAGGATGACAGTGCTGCTTTCACGCTATCCTTGCCAAGCCGTCAAGGAAGCATACCATCTGCTCCTGAGTGTCCAGTCCGGGGCACTGAACAGAACAGTGCCTACCAGGAGCTCTGCGCCATGCTCTTTGAAGTGGAGGCTGATGTCACCGTGGCAGCGCTACTGCCAAACATTCTGCGCATTTTGCGTCAGAGACCTCTCTACCCTGATGAGGTACTTGCGATAATCGAGACTGTGACAGATGAGCTACGGGACCTCACCTCTGATGGTCTCGAAGACCCATGGACTTCTGATACAGCACAAGTCCTCCTTCAGACTCTCGATGTGGCACGGTCTGGACTTTGGACCGAGCCCAGCGACCAAGTCCACCAACGGCTCACCCACTCTCTCCGAGAGTTCAGATCTCTCCTTGTCGACTTTGATTGGGAGACCCGTCTACAGAGCCTAAGGTCCGACAACGGGACCCCCTCCGTGCTTGAGTTCCATGTTCTGCAAGGCTGGGAAGCTGAATGGCGGCAGAACTGCAGTCAGGCGGAGGTTTCAGCCGTAGTCGAGGACTTTGGTACAGTTTTGCCAGAAGTACTACGAAGGGCATGGCAAAGTCTTTTAGCAGGCTGTACAGTTGCCATCTATGCTCCCCTAGACTTCTGGGCATCCCAGCTCGCAGCCCCTTTCAAGTCGGCTAGAGCTACTTTTTGCAAGCCTAATTAAGCCGCGTACTCCTCTGAACGCATGCAAATCCGCATATATATATATATGAAAGTCCCAGGGGCTTGCTTCAGTGCTTCGAGGCCATCACTGAAGTGGAGGAGCTCTGGCTTGTAGGCCTTTTTCCTTCAGCGGCATCTGCCAGACTGCCCGAGCATCCACCAGCGTCTGCACATTCACGCCGAAGTCAGCCCCATCAACGACTTTCTCCACAGGGACCAGGGACTTCTGCGCGACGCTGCTTCATCCACGCTTGCCGTGCCGGTGAGCAGCCCTAAACCTATACCCCCAAACCCCTAAACCCCTAAACCCCTCAACCCCTAAACCCCTACGCCCCGAAACACCAAAACCCCGAAACATCTGAACCCCAAACCCCTAAACCCCTCAACCCTGAACACCTAGTCCTGGTCGGCCTTTAGCGGTCCATCGCCAGGGGCTTAAGCGCCGCCCACCCACGGTAGGTGGGTGGCTTAACGGTTTAGGGTTTAGGGTTTGGGGGTTTAGGGTTTAGGGTTTAGGGTTTAGGTGTAGGGATTCAGTCATCCCAGACGCATGTCTTCGCGGAAGATCGTCCAAGAAGCACCTGATATACTACAATTATAGAACCCCCACAATAGTATTGGTCATTATGGACCACAAACCGAACTCATGTTTTCAATAAAGTCGAAACACCGAAAGAAGCCCCAATCCCTGAGCAGAACTACAGATCATAAACCAAAAAGCCAATACTCCTTAATCAAGGCAATCAAGGAATCCACCTTAGATTATAGGGATCCTAATATCATGATTTAAGGTATCTTCCTTCTTTATCAGCCCCTACCGCTCCGACTTCTTGGAATGCCTGCCCCTAAACCCTAAACCCTAAACCCTTCTACCCCTAAACCCCAAACCCTCAACCCTAAACCCTAAACCCTAAACCCAAAACCCTAAACCCCTCTACCCCTAAACCCCAAATCCTAAACCCTATAAACCCTAAACCCCAAACCCTAAACCCTAAACCTCCTTGGAATGCCTCGGGGCTCATGAGGCCAGCGAGGTTTCCTCCGCGCTGCACGGCCTCGGGCTGTCCGGATGCCGGCTTTAGGGTTTAGGGTTTAAGGTTTAGGGTTTAGGGTTTAGGGTTTAGGGTTTAGGGTTTAGGGGTTTAAGGTTTAGGGTTTAGGGTTTAGGGTTTACGGTTTAGGGTTTAGGAGGGATTGGTACCTGGAGGTTCGTGGGTAGTGATAAGATGGGGCTATAAGTTGGGAAACTATACTCATAACCGATGTGAGGGACCTATAACCCCACTTATAACTGCCGATAGACCTCCAAGTAAAGGCTTTACAAGGGTTCAATGCAAGGCTCTAGGGTAATTACATAGAAGTCCCGGTTCGCAGGAGATGCGGTGGCACGATCGCTTCCAGCACGCACCGAATCGGCTGGACACACCCTCGGGTTTGGGGCCGTTATATCGTTCAGCATCTCCTCGACCGACAATCCCGGTCGCAATGGCAAGCCGTCAGGCAGACAGGAGCGTCTTGTTGAAGCAGATGCCTTTCGCGGCCTCGTTATGCAGAGGCCCTGAACCCTAAGCCCGAAACCCGAAACGCACTTCTATCAAAGGCACGACTTCACCAATTCAGCAATTCACCAATCCTCCCCGCAGGGGGGGGAGCACTGGTGAATGGGTGATTTTTTGGACTGTCGAAGTTTCATTTCGATTTCAAAACACACTGCACACAACCCAAAACCCTAAACGTGTACCAAGACGATGTTGAAAGACGTGTCGTGTACATCCGAACAGGTGTCCACAACACGGCGTTCCGTAAGTTTAGGGTCTGTTGCCGTTTGGGGTTTAGGATGGCGAGTGCTCTAAACGAAGCTCTGAGCTTTAGCCCTAGAATCCCCTAGAACCCTGGAGCCGCGGAGCTCCCAAACCGAAATCCCTGCACCCCAAACTCCCAAACCCAAGACCCGGAGCCCAAAAAACCCTAAACCCTCGACCCTAAACCTTAAACCCTAAACCCCTAAACCCCTAAACCCAAAAACCCTAAACCCTAAAACCTCGACCCCCCTTAGCCTTACTTGAACCATCGAGTCTCAGGACTCCTGATAGATCACGGGGTGTAGGGTTTTAGGGTTTAGGAATGGATAGCTTGGGGTTCCTGTCAGGGTTCACTTAAGGCTTCCCCCACAAGGATCCTTCCAGGGCCTTGAAGGGTTCCTTTAAGGGATCTAGCAGGTCTTAGGGCTGAGGGTTGAAGATTTCTTAGGCTTTAGGGGTTTAGGGTTTAGGGGTTTAGGGTTTAGGGGTTTAGTAGGGGTTTAGGGTTTAGGGGCTTAGGGGTTTTAGATTTAGGGGCCCCTGTCTTCCACCCGAGCCAGGCCTTACGCCAGAAGGAGGCTGGCGCCCGGCCGGCGGTCATGTAGCCTTTCGCGGGGCTCCGGCGTGGAAGTCGAAGGTTTACTTGGAGGCTCATGGGTAGTTATAAGTGGGGTTACAAGTCCCCTAATATGTAAAGTTACCCTACTTATAACCCCATTTATAACTACCTATGAACCTCCAAGTAGGGTATAATAAAGTATACCATAACTATGATACGGAGCCCCAAAACACCCTAGTCTAGTTATTACGGCCCCTACATCAGGGTTTGGGGGTTTGGGGTTTGGGGTTTCGGATTTAGGGGTTTAGGGTTTAAGGCTGGCCCGGCTTCAGGGTTGCAGGCTTCGGGGGCCACGTTGGTTCCACCATGCTCCTACGAGGAGACTATTTAGGATTTAGGGCTTAGGGTTTAGGGCTTAAGGTGTAGAGTTTCGGGCTTAGGGTTCAGAGTGCAACTTAAAAGTTTCAGCCTTTCAGATTTCCCCGTTGATGTCAGGGATGCTTAAAGGGTCCTAACAGGGCTCCATTTTACAAATATTTTCTTATACGGGCTCCTATAGCGGCTCTATAACGGTTCCATAGGGCATAGGGTCGAAGGTGTGCCGGGTGTTGGCCGTAGGGTCGAGAAAAAGGTGTGAATGAAGTTCACGCG